ATTTAAAGCAAATATAATAAAGTTCTAAATTTAAATGAATAAAATGCATTATTGTATATTTTAATATAAATTATAATTAAATTATATAATTAAAAAATGAAATTTACATTTTTATGAATAACGTTCTATTATAATTTACATTTAAATATATAAAATTTGTATATTATATTGTAATTTAAAAGTCATCAATAGCCAATAACAAAACCACTACCACAAAAAATGAATACAACAATGCCTAACCTGGTCCTCGGGCATTGACATCCATGCAGTCGTTCTCTATCTCGCCCTGAGGGGGTGTGGGAGCGATGGATGGGATGCGTAGATCAGCTGCGTCCAAGTGCTGCTGCGTCCACTGCCGGTGATCTGGCTGATCGTCTAAATCAAGCATCGCCTGCTCTTCTGACTAAAAATTGAGAATGAGACATTAACAAATTGAAAACACACATTTTAATTAATTTGATTACTTAATGCAAGAATACTAATTGTAAGACGCTTCTATGTGAATTTTATGATAGTGATGATGTCTGTTTTTTCTTTTATCTTGTCAGTGGGAAATGTCAGTGAGTTGCTCTGCTCACCCTGAAGCGTTTCGTGTCTGATGGTTCTTCTTCTGCCCATTCATTCTGGTTGTCATCCATTAATGAAGTGTCTGAACAGTTCTTAAGTGGCCTGTTTTCAAAAAAATAACCCATTAGACATGCCAAAAGAACTTTTTTAGCACCCAGCTAAACTACTTTAAAGACTGTTCTCCAACACCAAAAGCCATCATTGATTATCAACCTCCACCTACTTCCTAAAACTCAGTTAATTAAATTAAAAACAACAGATGATAATTACTTCAAATTAAAACGTTTTCCTCCATCATAGTTTGTCCCTTCAAACCCGACACCCAAAGATAACGTGACTGACCTCAGACCAACAGAGTCTTCGCCGACCGGCTCCCTCCTCTTCTTCTTGCTGGGCTCGCTGGTCTTGAAACCCTCCGGAAACCAGAGTTGACCGTGTTCGCGGCGGCGTTTACGGGAGGCGACCATTCCCACGGCGACAAAGGCCAGCAGTGCCAGTCCTGCCAGAACCACGTAGACTGGATAGAGCTCTATGGCTGGCGGTCCATCAATCTTACCTGCCACAGGAAGCACAGTTGACATGTCAAACCCACAGAAAGGACAAGAATATGTTCCTCATGCAACAATGAGGCACAAATTGCTTGAGATGGGCGGACAAACTAAAGCGAGTTCGCGTTCGCATTCGTAGTAATCAGAATTGCTAACCGCTCCTCATCAAAAAGAAGGAGCTGGCAAATAAGAAAAGGAGGAGGACAGAAAAAAGAGAAAAGAAAGAACACCTCCTCTCCCCTTTCTCAGCCCAGGGTACCAGGAGACAACTTTACCAGTTCTTCTTTAAGGGGAAAAAAAGGGAGGGATTAATGAACTTCAAATTACTGCGCACACTTTAAGCTGTAAAGACGAAGGATTTATTAGGATTTTCGAGATATCAAAGACTCCCAACTTCTAGCACACTCCCGATCAATTTTTCTCCTCTCTTTTTTCATGCTCTCTCCACTAACGATTTTGAAATGATAAACTCTGCTCACCTAAACCCTTGGAGATGCATTAAGTCCTGGTACATTCAACAAGGTTAAGGTTGCAGAAGCCCCCATCATTTTAGATTCAAACCATGAATGGGCTATATGCATGTATGTGAGAGTGTCTTGTTGGGGCCAAGTGAGTTGACATGATTTGCATCAATTAACTATTTTTGGTGCCTGGAGCCAGTGGATCTGCCCTCAGACTGCTGCATTGATTGTTTACTCTGTCTAATGCACAAAGAACATTTGCTTCATTGTTATAAGGAAGAAACGCACAAACTTCAAAGTGATCCCTGTAATCCGTAGTAGGAGGTGGTGGGGTTAAAGGTTGGGGTGGGGGGGTGCTGAATACATTGAGTAAGATGGGAGGCCTAGTCTTGATTAAGGGCATTATGGGAGAATGTGAGGCACACGACAATGCTCGTGCCAAACACTCACTTGTGACGGCCTCGATTACGTAAGGCATATTCAGACTGCCGCTGGAAGCCAGGGCTCCGAGGAAAGCCGCCACATCGTTTGCACTCTGGAAGCACTCAGAGGTTTGTTGGTAGCATTGGCGGTTGTCAATCTCCAAATATACCACCGAGCTGATGGAAATCAAAAGCATGATTTTTATTCAAACATATTATTAAAGCATACACAGGCTCAACTTTCACATACATACCCTTTGATCTGCATCTCGTCCAGTTCTCTGCGTTTTCTCCCTCCTTCCACCGCTATATTGTAAATAATGCTTTTTACGGAGCTCAAGACGTTGCTAGAAGCATCGCTCCAGCCATCTAGTGATCGTTTGATGTTGTGCTTTCTCAGCTCCTGCTCGTTGCCGTAATATGGGTAGATCATTTCCTCTCCCTTGTTGTCGCGCCGGAAAACGACGTTGGTGTGGAGCACTCGGCTGAGCTCCCGCAGAAATCCAAAGGAGTTGTTTCGGAGCTGTTCAGGCAAAATGTGGACCACCAAAACCAGGAGTCCAGCAGCTAACTTCTCGGGTATGTTGCTGGCACAGTCCAGGCCGTCCCATTCACACTCTGCATTATTGCAGCCCTGGTCACAGTGGCCATCTGCATAGTGGTCTTTGCAATACTGGTCGTAGAGTGGACTATGAGAGAGGAAAGCAGAGTTTAGAAATAGCATTCAATCTGGATTAACGGAGCTAAAAAGCTTCTGATTCTAGTTTTACTAGTTTTAAGGTTTTTAGATGGCTTAAGATGGTGGACTACAAGCTTGTGGGCCAGGTTTTGACCTGTTAGACCATCTGGGTTAAGATGGTTAGAGTTTGTTAACCATCTTGGCCAAGGTACCATCTTCTGAAACTACCCCACAGTGAATTAAGGACCAGTTGCATAAACACATCCATTATGTGTCCATTATGTGCAGTTAGCTAAAAGATAATCGGATAATCTTACTTTTCATTCTCTAATTAGACCAGTTTAGGACCAGTGTATAATTGAGATACTGTTACAGTTGTTATTAATATTATACAATTATGATGTTATTAATATTATACAATTAACATTAATTTTTCTATTTTCCATTTTCATTTGAAAGTTTCAGTAATTTTGTTGGTTGTTTTTGTTATTCTCTTTTTTCGTTAAATATGCCTGTTTTTATTTTTATTTTACATCAAATTTTAAAAAAAGAGAGGTTGCCTGAAATGAAATTGTAAAAAAATTAACTTTATTTCAGTAAATGTTTATTTTATTTTAAGTTATGAAAATGTTTTTTTTTTTTTTTTTTTTTGTCTTAAGCAGTTTATCTAATAGGCGGATTTCATCAATAACAATGTTGAATAAACTATTGCATACTGAATTATAAGCTGAAAGCTAATTACATATTTTACTACAAAATAATGATTTGAGTCAAATAATGTTCACTCAGAAATTCTCTAGCTGTGTCAAAATTACAATAGAAATGTTAAATTCTTAAAAAAAAAAAGTGTAAGACTGGAATTTAAATATAATCTAATAAAAACAAATTCAGAAAAAAAAATCATCACAAGATTCTAGTGAAAATAATACTTAAGAGCTGAGCTTCACTAGAAAATGTTCCATGACTTTTTCAGACCTGCTGAAGAGAAATGGTCTGGGAGTTTAAAAATTGTGATTTCCAATTAAAACTTCCTGATAATTTCTCTTAAGCTTGGTCATTTTAGCTTCAAACTCTTAGCTATGATTACAAATGTGCAACTTCCCTGAAACTTGTGTAAAAATTCTCAAATAGCACTCACTTGCACTGGCCCTCCAGTCTCTGGCAGTCAAATCCGTCATAGAGGCATCCAGCATTGTGACACTGTTCATCACACTTCCCGTTATTAAAATAGCGCCAGCACTGCAGCGCGGCCGAACAGTTCTGCCACGGGGCATTGAAGTTCAGAGAGCAGTCCCCTCCATCCCAGTCGCAGGCGTAATTATTACATGTGCTGTCACAGATCTTATTGCCTTTCTTGTATTCACACTCTGCTATCTCGCATCTCACTGTCACTTCTGGAGCAGGTGTGATATATCGAGCAGGGCCACCTGGGAAGCTGTAGTCCAGGATGTGGCAGAAGAGGCCATTGAAGCCGGTAGGACAGATGCAGTGGTAGTATGGGGCCTCTGAGATATACTCGCACGTGCCTCCATTGTAGCATGGATTGGTTGTGCAGTGACCCTCAGTGGGATACTGGCACTCAGGACCAGTGAAGGCAGGGGTACACAGGCATTTGGGGCTCTTGTGACCAGAAATGCATGTACCGCCATTTTTACAATGGAGACTACCACAGGCATGAGCATCATACTCACAAGTTGAGCCTGTAAAACCCTAAATGAGACATACACAAGTGGTAAAATGTATGCATTGCAGTTTACTGACATTTTTAGCAAATCTATAGGTAATGCATTCATTTGAACAAAAATACAGTAAAACAGTATTATTGTTAAAAATTATTTACAATTTTAAATAACTGTTTTCTACTTTAATATATTTTGAAATGTATTTTATTCCTTTGATGGTAAAGATGAATTTTCAGCAGTCATTACTCCAGGCTTCAGTGTCACATGATCCTTCAGAAATCATTCTAATATGCTGATTTGGTGCTCAAGAAACACTTATTATTATTATTATCAATGTTGAAAACAGTTTTGCGGCTTAATATTTTTTATATTTAAATATTTTAATATTTAACAAACCACAATACATTTTTTCAGCTTTCTTTGTTGAAAAGAAAATTCAAAATAACAGATTTTTTTTCATCACTTTGGTGCATCCTTGCTGAATTAAAGTATTGTTTTAACATTAGTATGAAAATGATTTTAGAAAATTATATACAATAATTTATATAGACATATAAGAGACATATGTAATTATATAGAATATTTGTGGCCTTGTGACTAAAATGGAAAAGCTAAGGAGAAATAATTGTTTAAAATTCGAAATAATTTATTAATATTAGTAATAATATATTATTTATTTATTTATTTACCGCATTTATGTAAATGATGTGTATAGAACCTGATTGATTAGTTCATAATCTATGTGATGGAGATGAAATAACACAGAAGAGGTATTGCAAAACAGTAAAAACGATCCAAAGCAGGTTCAGAAAACCATAGCTAAATGTATCAGAGAATATAACTAACCGGTGGACATTTGCAGATGAAGCCATGAGGAGTGTTACTAGCCACAGCGCAGGTGCCTCCATTACGGCAAGGTTTCCCCTTACAGCCATCAAACACTTTGTCACAGCGCTGACCTGTAGGGATACACAAACAAGGTAATTATTACACATTTGACAACATGATCAGAATGTAGCGTTACTCTCTAAATCAAAGCAAAATGGTCCACAGCATCCTGTGTTGTACCTGTATATCCTGTGCGACAATCGCAGCGGTAGTTGTTCGTGAGCTGGATGCAGCTGTGCGTGCCACGGGGGTCACAAGGGTTGGACAAGCATTCATTGACGTCACCCTCACAGCGTTCCCCCACATATCCGGCTAGGCAGATGCAGTGGTACCCGCCCACACGGTCCACACAGCGGCCCTGGTTAAAGCATTTGGGTTCTTGGGTGATGGGGTCGGTGAAGGGTGTGCAGTCGTCAATGTTGATTTCACAGTGCACACCTGAGAGAGAAGCGGAGAGGAAAGGTCATATAAAAGCTACCCTTACTGCAGAGAGGTAAAAATAGGCTCTGTCCAAAACCTAGTGAACTGCCTTGCTAGAATACTGCCTACGTAGACAGCTGTCCTCTAAGGCAGCATAATAGTCATAACTGACTAATTTGGAATGAAGAAACTTGACTTAAATAAAATAGAGTGCAACAGCTGGGTTACTGTAAAATTAGAATAAAATTACCATTCATTTTCTCCATAGTTAACAATGACTTTATAAACCTTTAAAAACTGACCTTACTATGAGCTATGAGGTTGTTAATCAATGATATATGCTTTTGTTGTAGCCATCAGTATGCATTATTTCAACTATTTTTTTCTCTCATTGTTTAATAGCGGAATTCCTGGTGGAAAAACTACATTACCCATGATTCTACAAAGAAATCACCACCAATCAGAGAATTAAAACAAGTGTATTGTGCCAAAAGAGCACTTTAGTGATTTTTAAACTACTTAAATATTTGTATAGGCTATATATGCATAATTTAAAATAAACATAAAATATTGTTGTTTCTATATACATAGTCAACATGTTTAAATCAACAGTTTTATGCTCATACACATGCAGTATAATATATATATATATATATATACATACATATATATATTATTTTATTTTTATTTTTTTTATATTTGTTTCATTCACAGTGCTTCATGGGACTGAAGTTCTTGTTGGCCATTCTTGCACCTTTGTCTTTTTTTCAGATTTTCAAATAGTTATTTGCTTCAATCAAGGTTTGTAATGTTGTGATTCATCCTGTAGCTGGATTGTTTAGTTTATGGCTTATAACTCTTTATACTAAGACTTAAAAAAAAAAAAAAAAATCTCTATGGGAAAAATCCTTCCGGAACCAAGGCCACTGAAAAAGCACTCTACTGACTCTAATAGAGATGGATGTTAGTTGCTAAGCTAGCAATAATATACTCTACTCTAAACATAAAAATACAGAGCAAACATAAACATTTGTTTTAATTAGATTCATTTGAGATAATTCCTGATTAATTACATGGGGGGAAAAAATTAAAATTAAATAATTTAAGATCAATAGGAGCGTTCATATGATGCCTTAAAATGATAGAGCTACAGACAAAGAGAAAGGATAGTTAACTTTAATACAACGGGGTAATATAACACTGTTTGAAAGTTTCTGTCCAATTTATAAAATAAGTCCATCTATGAGATGTAATTAAGCATGACTACATCAATCAGAGAGAAACGTCTAAGCCTGCTGATAACAGTTAAGACCTAATTAATGAAGCGTGGAATGGGCAAAAAGAGCAAACCAGAGGAGGAAGTGATAGCGGACCTTGTGTTCCCCGGGGACAGGAGCATTTGTAGGTATTGATCAGGTCGATGCATGTGCCTCCGTTCTGGCAGGGCTGAGACAGACACTCATTGATCTCATCAGAGCAGTTCACTCCATGATAACCTGGCACGCACTTCAAGAAACGAGAGAAAGAGCGAGGCGAATTAATGCCAAACATAAAACAAGCCTGTTTCTGTTTACTTGGCAGTTTCTTCCTTCTTTGCCAAACAAGCAATTCTTTTACAAAGAAGGGAGATTTAGCGGGCATTAACCTAAGTATCTTCTTCTACAGTCACTTCGGTCCCTAACCACCAGATTTTCTTTACTTACTTCACAGGAATAGCCGCCCAGGTAGTCGGTGCAGGTTGCTCCATTCTGGCAAGGATTGGGAATGCATTCATCCACCTGCTCCTCACAGTAGCTGCCTGTGTATCCGGCCTGACAGTGACAATAGTGTGTGTTTCCAGCGTCCAGACACTGGCCAGAGTTACGACACAGCCGGGCCACCTCTACACCTAAAAGCGGAAGAAGCAAACATCACAGCAGATTTGTAAAACACTGAGGGGCCCCAGCAGAAATGTGTGGTAATCTGCAAACATATTTTAGTCACATTACATACAAACAAACCTACCTTGCTGTTTGGCGGCCACCTCGCAGGAAACGCTGGGGACGTCACAGTATAAACCAGTCCAGCCCGTCTGACACTGGCAGCTGTACCTAGTGCCGCTCTGTCTGCAGATACCTCCATTCTTACAGGGAGACGGCTTACACCAGTTCACCAGCTCCTGCAAGACAAGAATTCATCCAGTGTTCACATTTCAAACTCGTGCATCTAGTTCAAATCTCTTTAAGTGATAATAAATATTTTATTTAAATATTTTTAATATATAAGAAATATTTTATTTTATTTGACATAAATTGCTGACATGAATTAGGCATAGATCATTATATCATAATCTGTCTTTAAATTGTTGGCATTGATTTTTATGGTTTATAGCTTATAACTGTTTTACGAAGACTTTTTTAAAATTCACATGCAAAAAATACTTCTGGAACCAAGGCCACTGAAAAAGTGGGTAGGCTAAATTATATTATGCATTCTATTGACTATAACAGAGTTTGATGTTAGCATGTGATACTCTAAGCATAAAAATACAGAGCAAACGTAAACAATGTCTGTTTTAATTAGACTGATTTTAGAAAATGGGAAATGTGGGGAAATAAGGGAAATGTGTCTATATAATTATAATTGTAATTATATCATTTGAATTAATTATTACAATTAAATATAATTAAAATACATAATATTTAAACTTTTTATAGATTTGTACATTTTATTTATAAATGTTACTAGTATAATAAGTGTAATATAAAGAAATTCAGTTAAAATTAAAGAAATTAAGATCAATCTATATTTATTGGGAGTGCGCCTATGATGCCTTAAAATCATAGTTAACTATGAAAATTATAACAGTTAACCTTGATACAATTAGGAAATATAACACACTGTTTGAAAATTCCTGTGCATTTTCTAAAATAAAAGTCCATCTATGAGATGTGATTAAGCACGACTACTAAGATCCTAAAGTGCTGCTGTGAATCAGGTATAGATCAATATATAAATTAATCAGTTTTTAAATTACTGGCATCAACTATTTAAAAGAAGTGGAATTAATAGAAATATATTCAAAACAAATTTAGTATATATCTTTTAGGGAATATTGTGTAAAATAAATGTTCATTTAATTTTAGAATTTTTCAGCAGTTTTTAGAACTATACTACAGAATCAACAAGGAAACACTATAAGCTATATATATGTATGATGGATGCATACTAAGTTTTTGTCCATTTCACATTTGTTACCTGGCAGTTAAGGCCATGGTATCCCTGAGGGCAGGTGCACTTGTATGTGCCATAGCTGTCCTGACAGGTGCCTCCATTCATGCAGGGTCTGGAGTCGCACTCGTTGATGTCATGCTGGCAGTAGTTTCCAGTGAACCCCGATGGGCACAGGCACGTGAAGCTGTTGATGCCATCCACACATGTGCCACCATTAAAACAAGAGCTGTTTGAAAAAAATATATATAATAATACAAAAAACAAAAAAAATCATTAATACATTAATTTAAAATCATTTAGTTTCTTAGGTAATATACAGTATAATGGGTTGTGATGCTTCTCTGATTTCACTGTCATTTGTTTACCAGAGGGGGCACTAATGGACAACAGAGGAAGAAGTGCTACATGAGGCAGATCAGTGGACTGGCTAGACTAGCCTTTATCAATAGCCATGTTCTATGAGGCATAATATTAAATTCGCTTTGCATGTCAGAATAACATTACAATGTACACTGGCATTCAAAAATTTGAAGTCCATAAGATTTATTTAATGTTTTAGAATTTTCAGTAGTCATTACTCCAGTCTTCAGTGTCAAAAAACAGTTTTCATTATTATCAATGCTGAAAAACGGTTGTGATGCTTAATATTTTAGTGGAAACCATGATACATTTTTCATGATTCTTTGACAAATATAAAGTTCAAAAGAACAGCATTTATTTGAAATATAAATATTTTTAAATAATTTAAAAGTCTTTACTGTCACTTCTAATAAAAAGCCTTTTCCTGTCAATTTAATGCATCCTTGCTGAAAAAAAGTATTAATTTCTTTACAAAACAAAAAAAGAAAACTGTCTCCAAACTTCAGAGCAGTAGTGTACTGTAGTAAGAAATGGTCACAGTGGTCAGGTGTTCTGCCATGTTGCAGTTTTTGAATACAGTACATTTAGGAATAATTTGTTTCTATCCAATGAATTTGGTATTTTTATGTTCCTGTAGCAAAGTTCGTAGTCACGGGAAGAAGGAGGCGGGAACCGACGGACATTTAAATAAACTTTAATAAAATAAACAAACACAAAATAGCGCGACAGCCCCTCGCGGACGACTGTCGCGCACAAACAAAACCAAAACACAAAATAAACTCCAGGCCTGGTCCTCTCTCGTCTTTCACTGTTGTCCCTCCTCCTCCCTTGTAGAGTTTCCCTGTTCTTTCTCCCATTTCATGTTCTGTGGTACATATCTGTTACTGATTTGTTGATATGTGTTTTTAAAAGAGTGGAGATGGGTTTGTCTTATTGCCTCTTGATTGTAACAGTTGTCGGTTGCAGCCAAAACAGTGATTTTTTTTGGCAAAGGTCAGTATTTACACTTGAGAACTGATACAAATAAGAGTGCAGCTGTTACCTCTCAGTACAGTCAGGTGTGTTGTTCTCACAGTGAATCCCACTGAATCCAGGAGGACAGGTACAGGTGTAACTGTTCACACAATCAGTGCAGTTCGCACCATGTTTACATGGGTTACTGTCACATTCATTAATGTCCTCCTCACATTTGCTGCCCCGGAAACCTGGTAGGCAGGTGCAAGTGAAGGCGTTCACAGCATCTTTACAGAAGCCACCATTACTGCAAGGGTCTAAAGGAAAAGTATGGGGTTAGACATCAACCAGACCAACTAGATTGAAATAAGGCCGAAATGGGACACTCACTGGGCTTGCAATCGTCAATGTCTGTCTCACAGTTGCGGCCCGTGTAGCCTGATTTGCAGCTGCATTTGTAGCTGCCAATAGAGTTTTGACAGACGGCATCATTTCGGCAAGGGTTTTTGACACATTCGTTGATGTCCACTTCACATGTTTGGCCTACAATTGAGGGAGAGCACGAAGTATGAATATAGTTGTGCATAATACTGAGGCTAGGACAGAATTTCTTGTTAGTTTTGTGAATTTTGTACCTTGCCATCCTTCAGGACACACACAAGAGAAGCTCTCGTAGTCTTCGGACTCCTTACATATGCCTCCATTCTTACAGGGTTTAGGGCTGCACGGGGCCAACAGGGTTTCACAGTTCTCGCCTGGAAGATAAAACATCAAAAAGGAACAAAGCATTAAAACATCCACATTGTTTTTTGCATTCAAGATGTTATTCGGAGACGTTCATCCTCTAACTTAAGGAGACCTAAATTTAGAAGGTGACACTATGTTTCAGTACAGGTTCTGTACTGATTCCTCTTTTCTCAGTTGGAGATTAGTCTGTCAGTCCTAGCAAAGCAAAGCACATTTGGCCTATCTGTTTCCACGATGGCCGGCCCCTGCAGGAAGTCAGCAGGTTTTCCTGCCATTGTCTGGCCATTTGCGTTTCTGTGAGACAGGAAGTAGGGCAAACAGGAAACATGACAGGCTACTGTTCCCACCCTGAGACGAGTAGTTTTTGTTATTCTTGATATAACGCTGTGTGGATTTTTCCAAAAAGAAAGTCACTGGGAATTAATATGATTTCTGTTCCAGAAGCAGAACATCATTATCTGTTTTGTCAAATAACACATTGAGAGGAAAGAATGTGTCGTCTGTTGAAAACACATTTCCCTGTATTGTCAACAGAGATACTTGCAGGGCTCTTGAGGGGCCACTGTCAACAATTTGGGGCTAGATTGATGGAGGAGGGTCTGTTGTTCCTGACTTTGAAATTGTAACTTCACAAGATACAAACTGCTCATAATTTAAAGGGGTCATATGATGTTGCTAAAAAGAACATTATTTGGTGTATTTGGGGCCGTTCACATATAGCGTCTTTTGCACGCTCAAGTTCGTTATTTCAAATGTAGACGCACGGCAGGCGCGCTCATAATGGAAGCGACGCGGTCCTCCATAAAATGTGCTGCACACATCTGGATATTTGGGTTGAAGTGTTCTGGAATCTTTGGATTTGAGACTTTAGTCTTTGCAACTTTACAGATCTTCTTTATGCACCAAGAGCTTGTAACACTCCAAAGAGAAAGGAAAAATTGAAATCGCATCATATGACCCCTTTAAAGTGGTTTAAAAATAGTAAAACTAACAAAAAGTAGCAGCCACACTGAAGCTATTTAAAGACCCCATGAAAAAGGTAAAAAAGCTTAGATTTGTTTTTCAGGCTTTTAAATATTCAACTAATAAATAAATAGGTTTTATGTCTTTTTTAAGCTTTAAGGTCCTACAATTTGTCAAAAGTTACTTTAGAAGATTCAATTAAAAAAACTAAAATAAGACTAAAAATATTTATACATCATTTTGCACTTTCAGGCATATCTGAAATTTTGTTAAATAAAATGATCCTAGAATGAGAATCCTTCCTGTAATTAGCGAAACATTGTTCATGTTTGTGTCTTAAACTAAAGGGTATTGGCTATGTAAAAGAAATAGCCCACCACAACTTCCTGTTTCAATGGGAAATACATCAACACAGGAAAGAAAGCTAATTGTCATAATGTCATCGTGGTCTCAAAAATATCTTACATATATAACCAGTACTTAAAATAGTTTACATCAGGCATTTCTGTCACTCCAATCCCTTTGAAGTAAAATATGTACTTGAAATCCCCCCTGAGATTTTGAGTTAATATTTCAATAATTTAACAACACGTTTGCTTGTTCACAGTTTTCTGATGTTGATTAAGGGTAAAATAATAAAATGTTCAATATTCTTTTGAGCAATTATGTATATATGTATTTGTTTCTTTTACTTTTTTATGATTTAATTGATTATTAACTTTCTTTAATTCATCAACTCCTAAACTCTCAAATTGGTTTAAACACCTATACAGTCTAGTGAACTACATGCTAGTGAAAAATATCACAATCAATGTCATGAATAAAGCTAAATTCATACCAGTGTAAGGCAGCAAACAGTTGCATTTGTATCCAGCCATGTCATCAATACAGGTTCCTTGATTCAAGCAAGGGTTGGAGGCACATTCATTGATATTTGTTTGGCAGTTGGGACCTATAATCAAACGTCAGGATCACATGGTGTATTTTGAGTGGTGGTCGAAAAGCATAGCGCATAGTTACAGTTCATTAGCAGAATGAATGATACGAACCGCTGAAGCCAGCGCGGCATGTGCAGACGTAGCCGCTGGTCATGTCCTTACAGGTGCCTCCATTCATACAGGGATTGGACTCACACTCATTGTTATTGATGTCACAGTTGACACCACTCCAGCCGGAGTCACAAATACAGTTATATCTGTAAGAAACAAGATCTGCATTTTACATTTATTTTTCACTGCTGGAAGATCCAATTACAACCATCTTAAAGTGGTTTTACGTGGTTTCTGGCTGGTCCTAGCTGGTCATAAGGTGATCTAGACCAGCTGATGGCCAGTTGAACAAAACATCAGATCTTAACCTGACTTGAGCTGGTTTGCTGGTTTTAGCTGGTATAAGGTCTTGTTCAGCTGTTATATGCTCCAATCAGGATTTTTACAGACATTCATTCAGGGCCTGAATTTCATTTTTGAAAATGGGGGGAATTCCCCTCTTAGGTGACTCTTGTGGGGTTTTTTTTTTTATTATTTGATGGGTGGAGGGGGCATTTTTTTTAGACATTTCGCAAAAATATATAATTATCTCACCTTAATGTTTGATCATGCAGTACATTTTTGTTTTTACAATGGGGCACAATAGCTTACACACAGTGCAAGCCTGATTTCGTGAGCTGTATGTGAGTGCGCTTTGAGTGTGCATTGCATATAGTGCAGACACGAAGTGGTGATTTGAAGCCATTTGCGCATTTTGAGAGGGAAAGAGAGAGAGCGTGCGGTGATTCACTCACAGTTTGTGAAATTACATCCCACAGAAAGTTTTCAAATGACTTTGTAAGTTATTTAATAAAGAAATATGAATTGTACATCACTTTCAGCATTATAATTATTTTACCTGCACCGGACAGAGATTGAGACGCTGCCGCTGCATGTCATGCCAAACCTCTCACGGCAGGCGCGTCGTCAAATCGGGAGCTGATCAATCGGAGCACCCCTAGTTTGTTTGTTTGTTTTCAGTGGGGTTGGACCCAATAGGCCATCTTGATGATGATGCCAAAAACCAACTTTAAACTGTAAACTTAATTTCTTTAAAAAATTTTACTGTCCCCAAACTTTCAAATGGCAGTGTATGTATGTAAATAATACACACCCATTGACTTTGTCTTCACAGTGTCCATGAATACAGGGGTTGCTAAGGCATTCGTTGAGCTGTGATTGGCAGGTGGTGTCATGATACCCCTCTCTGCACAGACATGTAAAGCCATTGACTCCATCAACGCAGGTTCCACCATTGTGACAGGGGTTGATGGCACATTCATCAATGTTGATGTTACACATTTTCCCTACAAAAAAAAAAACAAGACAGAATTATGAAAATAGTTAGAGTGTCACATGTTGTGTGGTAGTCAAACTAACTCCTGAATCGACGGCATTCATTTAGCCATTCCTTGTTTTTCTTGAAATCCTAGCTTTTAGACTCCACTACAGCCAGCACCACTATTCACCGAACGCAATGCCAGCATAAAGGCAGAGGTTTCATTTGTCACTTGTCTTTAAAGCACCGGCAAACTTCCCCCTTTTAAAAGATCGACTTTCACAAATCTTTTGCAAATCTTTTCTCCTTTCAAACTCCCAGATGTCCTGGAGATCTCTGGCTGAATGAGGGAGTGGGCCGGCTTGTGTGTCTGCTTGGCAGGCAGGGGATTGGGTGAGACTGTAAGTCAACACCACGGCCCAGGCCGAATGTGTGCTCGCTGGCCAGCTGTCTCTCCCCACCCTGCTTTGTTGCCTGTCTCACCTGCTGAATTCTTTGTTGACTCCCCATCTCTTCTACATTGATAAAGACCTGAGCTCAGTATACCACCTAGACTGCCTTAATAAAACCACATACGCAGTGGCTTTTCCAAAGCTTAAATGACTTAGTGGAGTATGTTTCATTTAAGTATCAACTTTGATATGCAGTGAGAGTTATGCAATGAATGTGGTTAGTATAGTCTTGGAAAAAAAAAAATTTTGAATTCTTATTGAAATGTCTTTGGTATCTTGGCAAATCAGAGCACAGTTTGAGACATTGTTTAAATCTCTTCTAAACATTCTAGAGGAGACACGTAGAAGAATTGGGAACAAATAATTTAGCAAACCTGTCCATTTGCTCTTTTCATTTGCTAACCTATGCAAGACTTCATGCTAGACCCCACATCCACTCTCCAAACCATGCCCTCCCAAGACACATCAGAGGATTGTCTGAAAAACAGGTGTTCTCAGGACACCTATTTTAGTGACTAAACCAGTTAAGCGCAAACCTGGTCTGGTCAGTCACTGTGTTTATTGTTTACACAACCCTGAAATTAATACAAATTCTTAACCCTAACCTTAACCTCAGTGTAATGTTGGTAGCACATCCTGATAGACAGCATTACTGTTTGTCCCGATCGGATCCAAATGTGATATTTCTGAACTCTAACCTGAATCCATAAAGTCTGGGCTTTTCTTGGCAGGTGACTGAGTTGATCAAAATAAAAATGGCTGTGGGGTGGGGTTTGTGCTTAACTGATAAAAAAAAAAAATAGGCACAATTCATGTATATTGCATAAAATCACCTTTATAATCTCATTGCTGTCTGTAAGAAAATATTGAGATTTTTTTAATCTCATTAGTTTTTTTCTCTATTAGTAGGAAATACATAAACATCAGAATTAGCAGTTTTACACACATATCTCTTTAAAAAGTAAAATATCTACTGTGATTTGTAATCGTTGGCTATTTATGCCAAAAAACCCACATACACAGAACACACACACACACACACAAGCAAACAAAAAAAAACATTTACAGCTGCAGTGGAAGTGAAGATTATCAGTGAATAATGATATAAATTTCAGTCTGTTTTTCACACTTGTCGACTTTTTATAGTCCTTTTATATTTTATAGACCTTTCTGAAGCTTGACATCCCATGGCCACCATTAACTGTTGTTGTATGGAAAATATATTTGTAAAGATTTTTTCTTGTGAAGATCTTGAAAAATGAATAGCATACGGTTTTGGAATGACAAGAGGGTGAGGAAATGATGACCAAATTTGCTTTGCTGGGTGAACTATTCAATTAAACTCTCATTTCAAATGAATGAGACTATTTTATATTTCAGCGCAGTTGCCATTTATCGACGTAGAGGCACAAGATCTAAGACCACTCACCTGTGTATCCTGGTTCACAGGCACACTCGTAGCCATTTATCTTGTCAATGCATCTTCCAAAATCGCAGGGATTGCTTTGACAGTCGTCTAGGTTAACCTCACAGTTAGCACCTGTTAACACAACATGGAAGTAAAGTAAAAAATTACCTGAAGAGCTTTTGACAAGCAGGAATTTACATTTCTGGCCATAACTGTAAAAGTGGCACCTGCGGTTCCTTTAGGGCAGATGCATAAGTAGGCATTCTCACGGTCTTGGCAGGTGCCTCCATTTTGGCATGGCTGACTGAGACACTCATTAATGTTGATCTCACACAGACGGCCCATAAAACCCGCACGACATAAACAGGTGAATGATGCCAGGCCATCTTTACAGGTGCCATAATGACATGGGTTGGATAGACACTCATCTACATCTGTTTCACAGTGCTGCCCTGTGTATCCTATAAAGGAAAACAGATGAATTTATTATATTTATTATGGCACAGCGTTTCCTCACATTGAGGCCTGGGAATTTCCATGTTTTTTCCATGACTCAGAAAGAAATTTATAGCCAAATAAATATTTTAGAGCTGCAAAAATGTTTATTCACAATGGCAATATAATGTTTTATGTATTTATTTATTTTTATCACTTTTAAAAGCTGAATCAAGTAGACAGCGTTTTCATACCTTCAGAGCACTGACAGGTGTACATGTTGGGCCCATCAATACACTTGGCCCCATTTTTACAGGGGGTGCTAGCGCACTCGTCGATGTCGAACTGGCACTGGCTACCCGAGAATCCTGAGAGGGAGACGAGAGGAAAGGGGAGGTGGTCAATACAAAGATTCCTCTGGTTTGCACCCGCTTCATTCCTCCACACTCGTCTGTACAATATGGCCAGCGTTCATTAATACTTGGCTGCAAGCTTAACCCCTCTCTCTAAAGTTTTCAAGCCATTTTTTAACAAACCATCACAGTGAGAGGGGGAGAAGAGTGTAAATTGGCGGTAAAAACCTTCCAAGTCCTCCTGACCAAGGGCACCAGACAAAGAGGAACTGTCTATTCAGTGGCACGCCAAGCCATGGCGGTTGCCTCCTTTGTCCCGTAGAAGTTTCCTCAAAGATTCCTCCACACTCGTCTGTACAATATGGCCAGCATTCATTAATACTTGGCTGCAAGCTTAACCCCTCTCTCTAAAGTTTTCAAGCCGTTTTTTAACAAACCATCTCAGTGAGAGGGGGAGAAGAGTGTAAATTGGCGGTAAAAACCTTCCAAGTCCTCCTGACCAAGGGCACCAGACAAAGAGGAACTGTCTATTCAGTGGCACGCCAAGCCATGGCGGTTGCCTCCTTTGTCCCGTAGAAGTTTTCCATCACAATGTGCATTCTCCAATCCAGTCTTTGCCCCCCTCTCTGAGTCTGTCTCACCAAAAGAGCCCCACGCAACCCCTGACCTCATGCTATTCAGCAATCCCATCGCTCAGGAACCCCCAACATGTGTGCTTTCTCCCTCAGTTATTTTAATCCCTCGCTATAAATGTCTGCTTTTTAAATATACAGTTTGAACACATTAAGGGCTACAAATCTATCAGTGTGGAGACTTATGGGATATTCATCACAGTTAAAGCAACAATAAAACAGCTAGATTTTTTGAAGAAAAATGTTGCTATGCAGTTCTTAAGATGTTGTTAGAGTGTTGCTACAGTTGGTGGTTGCTAGGTGGTTGCTACTTTGTTTTAGGGTGGTTTTCGTAGCCTACCTGAAGTCACTCTGCTATTCTGGTCTGTAGATATGGCTTTAGTGTAAATCTGTTGGATTTATCTGGCCTTTTTATTATCCGCCAGGTTAGAATCATTACGTCTGATCACTTAAAAAAGTAATTACACATCTTGTATTATTATAATGATAATCCTGATAACAAATTCTTAACTTGCTTATGCCATTCCCTAAGACCCCCTCAGCATTGGTAATCAAGATCTGTCCCATGCATCTTCAGAATAGGAATTTCTTCCGAGCCTCTAAAATGCCACATTTCAAAAAGCACCCATTGTGGTTGCTATGGATTCAGTGTGTACACTACTGAAAAGGATCCCTGCGCCGCATGCTGAAAACACACTCATCAGTATTGATCTGACAGAAGACTCCCTCGTACCCTGCCAATTAACATAGGGGAATAAGCTCCAGACTTCGCGAGAAAATTCAGCACGTCTTAACAATGTTACTAGTGCTTCTTTTGTGTATAATAAACAGAATATATTAACTTCATAAAGTCAGACATCTGTATCATTAGTTTTACAGCCAACAGAAGCAATTTATTGGATCACAGGTTGGTCATGTGAGGTAATGACATCAGCATGGGGTAATATATAGAGAGCATTTAGATACCGGCTGTGTCCTAAACCAAATGCAGCAGATCTTTTGGTTACCTTGCATACAGATGCAATGGAAGCCTCCGATTTGATCCAAACAGGTAGCGTCATTCTGGCATGGGTTGGACATGCACTCGTTTATGTCCAGTTCACATCGAGCTCCCACATATCCCTGCAGACATTTACACTGGAAGGAACCTTTTGTGTTTATACACTTTCCAGCATGTTCGCAAGGGTTTGCACCTAAAAGAGGGGAACAAAAAAACACCCTTTAAACATTTACAATTAAAATATTCCATTGTAATAACTACATTTTTAAACATGACTAGTGTGCTAAGTCACAAGTGTGCTTATCAAGCACCACCAATAATGTTTACAGATACAATAAACAGCCATTCCTTACCCAGCGAGCATTCGTCAACATCTTGGTCACAGGCTGGACCAACGTAACCCAGAGGACAGGTACAGATGGCCTTGCCGTTGACTGGATTGGTGTCACAGTTGGAGCCTTTCTGACATGGGTTACTAATGCAAGCATCATCCAGGTGACACAACAGACCTAAATCACAGAGACACACAGTGAGAATTAGCTTGTGCAGGATTTTGCCATTAAACCTGGGTGAATGTCTCCTTTTTAAACAGTATGGCAGATTTGAAAGACCCTGTGAAATCAAAGCAGATGATTTATGCCACTTAGTTCATAGATACTAACTTTATATGATCTATGTGCAAGTGTACTCCTAAATAATAAATACATTTTAGCAGATTAAAAAACAAGCAAATTAATATGTCCCACCCCAACTTTTGGCTTCTTTTCAGTGGATTTGAACAAAACTCACAAAAAACCTAATGCTCAAATAACAGAATGAGCGCCTCAAACCATGATGCATTTGATTCATGAGAGAGAGAAAAATGCACACCTGTGCGCCCATGAGGGCATTCACACAGGAAGGAGGCCACCCGATCATGACATGTGGCTCCTACGTGGCAGGCTGCATCTGCGCAGTCATCGATGTTCTCGCTGCAGTCGTCCCCTGTCCAGCCGTTCACACACACACAGTTGTATCCACCCTGTGTATTCAAGCATGTACCACCATTCTGGCAGGAATTGGGCATCAAATCGCACTCGTTGACGTCTTCGGTACAGAACTGACCTGAGGAATTAATATATATAGGCATTAATTTCACCACATTTCGAAACACAGATGAAATGGCAATAAAAAGAAATTTTACCAATTGAAGCCTAGTTAGTCTTACTGATTCAAAAATGTCTTTCTTTGTAACTGTAAGTGAAGTGTGGGGTTTGAGTAGGCAGTTGGTACCTGTCCACTCTGGCTTGCATTGGCAATTGTAGGTGTTCACTCCATCCACACAGGTCCCTCCATTAAGGCAGCGATGGTCTGGACAGTCATCAATGTTCTCCTCACAGTTCCGACCACTAAATCCTGAAAAGAAATAAGCAGTTTCATCAAAAAATTTCTTAAAACATATAGATTTAAAAGCCAGAACTGACAACATTGTTCACATACCCATTTCACACACTGCCTGTTCAAGGTGATACTCATAAAAACTGATCTATATACAATTTTTTTTAGAAATGAATACTTTCATTCAGCAAGTATGCATTAAATTGATCAAAAGTGACAGTAAAGGCTTTTACATTGTTACAAAAATGTATAATTCAAATAAATGCTTTTCTTTTGAACTTTCTATTCATCTAAGATTCCTGAAAGAAATGTCTTACGGTTCCCACAAATATCAAGCAGCACAGTTGTTTTCAACATTGATAAAATTGATAATAATAAGAAAAGCCCCAAATCAGCATATTAGAGTGATTTCTGAAGGATCACATGACACTGAAGACTGGAGTAATGATGCTGAAAATTCAGCTTTGCCATCACATTTTTAAATATATTGAAATAGAAAACAGTTATTTTAAATTGTAATATTTCACAATAATTTTTTGCCGTATTTTTGATCAAATAAATACAGCCTTGCTGAGTATAAGAGACTTCTTTCAAAAACATATTTGAAAATCTTACTGAACCCAAACTTTGAATGTTAGTGTACCTGTCCAATTTATTTCCACAAAGTGATTTTTGCTGTTCATGCTATCATTCCAAAAAATAGTGAACATAGCCTGTATCTTTTGATAAAAAATAAATAAATAAAAATCAGCACTTAATACATACCCCCATAATGTCAAACATTCTAGACAAGGATAAATATTTGAGCAACTGTTTGCTGACAGAATTCATGTTTCCTTACAAAGAACTAAATATTTATATCAGATTGCACTGCACAGATCCTTTAATACAAACATGCAAATTTGATTGTTTCTCAGTACAAATAGAGGGATAAAATGATGTGAAACATTCGAAAACAGTCGTTACTGTTGTTGCGGTCAACAGTCTTCCTTTTCTGAGAAGACTAGCAGTACCAGGATTCTGTTAGAGGCACCAACGACAACGACTCAACTGACTCTAACCACAATTTCCTACAATTTAACTCCAAAAAGTGTAGTTATGGTAAATTTCATAACTGATCACATCATATAAAATGAATTCTTCCTTCAAAACCCATGAATGCATGGAATAAAAGAAGAAGTAGTTTCAGTGATGTTTCCTCAACGCTGAGGTTTAGGTTATATGTTGTCTGACATGATATGAGATCCCCTTTTTAATGGGTCCAAAGTAGTAATGGGAAGCGAACACACACACACACACACACAGGCATTCTCATTCTCACAGACACTGACTCTAACCCAGGGACACCAGCATAAGAATGTTGTCGTTCAGACATTTCCTCATGATAAGCGCAGATATTTTCCTGCCGGCCTGTTCACACACACACATGCAGACAGAGCGGCAGAGGGAGTGCAGATACTATGACTAGGCCGGGTTTGAATTAGGCTGAGAGAAGGACATGCTGGGAGAGGTAGCCTATCCCATGTTCCAAAGTTGTGGGAAACACTGACACTGCATTGTTATTGCAAACTCACTGAGCTCATCTGAAATCTCTACCTTCAGTGTTGACCCGGATAGAAGGCCGATTATCATTTGTCTTACCGCTGGAACAGATGTCGTCAACAGGACACTTGTGAGTCAAAATAAGCTGAGTGGATTTCCTCTGAATGATCAAAGTTAAGAGGCTGCCATTGATCCGTCATTTAATGAACTCATTGTTACGTAACTGATGTCAGTTAAAGCCCTCATCATGATTAAAAAGATTCAAGATTCAAGCTGTGTACCCCATAATCATGAGGGGTATTTAAGACAAGTCTTTGAATTGTAAGCATGGTAAACAGCTCTTAAGCCAGGAAAGGGTATACGTGACCCTGGACCACAAAACCAGTCTTAAGTCGCTGGGGTATATTTGTAGCAATAGCCAACAATACATTGTATGGGTCAAAATCATTGATTTTTCTTTTATGCCAAAAATCATTAGGACATTAAGTAAGACTGGTTTTGTGGTCCAGGGTCACATATGTTAGAACAAGTCAGCAAAGAACATAATCACTTAAGCTTCAAACCTAGGCAATATATCAAATATCCAAATATTCATGGTGATTAAGCTGGCTAAAGTATGGCAACATTACGAATATTGTGTTGATTTGAATGTTTTTCATTAGCTTGATTTCATGCTTTTTGTCTCGATCCAAACTGTATTAGATCTGGTAGGTTTTATTCATTTCCATGAATCAGTTCAAACTGTCAATTTCAATCGATGAATCTCAAAATCATACAGTCATTGTTGGAAAGGGTTCAAATATGCAAAAGATGCTGGAAAACCAAAGAATTTGTGGGACTTGAAGGATTTTTTTGAGGAACAGCGGGCATTTTAACTGTTCAGGACAAACAAGGGACTCATGAGCAACTATCACAACACAAAAACAAACAAAAAAAACAGCTGTGAAACATTGAGAAAATCAATATCATCAAAAGACTGAGCAATTTTAATATATATTTTTTAGCTATATTGCCATAATAAGCATCAAAACAAAGAAATCATTTTATTAAATACATGGTTTTATACAAGACTTAATTCCATTATTACTTCCACTCAGTAGACATTATTTTGTTAGTCAGAAAGAAACTTTTACTAGTTCCTTACATTACTAGTTCCTTTGCTTTGCTAGTTTGGGTGCAGCATGAGGAGTTCAGTGTAACTAATGGTAATGGTAATGGTGTTTGTTGATAATGGAAATGGTTTTACTTTATAACTAACAGTAATTTAAACTAATGTAAAGAAAGAAAGCTTCAGGACGCCAAAGTGCAGGTTAACAGGCTAAGGATGCCTACCTGGCAAGCAGGAGCACTCATAGCTCGTCTCTCCCTTCTGGACGCAAGTGCCTCCGTGGTAGCATGGTGAAGGGTTACAGGGCTGATAGAGGGTCTCGCAATGTCTCCCAGTGTACTCTGCAGGGCAGTTGCAGCGATACGTGCCCACCTCATTCTCACACACGCCACCATTCTTGCAAGGAGAGGGACTCTGGGCACACTCGTTGACGTCTTGTTTGCAGGTTTGGCCTGAGAAGAAGGGCGTGCAGTGGCAGATGTAGTCGGAATCAAAGGGACTACACTTACCGCCATTGGCACAAGGATTTGAGGCACAAGGATCAGCTTGATGGCAGTTCTTACCTAGTGATAAAGAGTGTTTTAAGGTCAGAATATGCTCACCACTGTCTGGATTTGAGATGTTAGTTCATTCTCCTCATATACATCGTTTCTAACTGGACTGTGGTCTTACCTGACCAGCCTGGTGGACATTTACACTTGTAAGTGTGGATGCTGGTGAGTTCACACGTGCCTCCGTTTCGGCATGGGGAGCTAAGGCACACATTATTGGTGGGAGTGAGACACAGTCGATCCGAGTAGCCCAGGCTGCAGTTGCACACAAAGTCCACCTTGTTGACAGAAGTAATCAAACGGCACACGCCGCCATTTCTGCACGGGGACTGGAAGCAAGGGTTGCGGAACTGGCACGCTGTGCCGGCAAACGGCTCAGGACACCTGTAGAGTGGAAAGCAAGCACAGGGGGAATTAGTACTGTATATACTGCACTCAGTATATGATTTACACTTCATAGTCATAAAGCCACTTCCAATGGCATTAGCCTAGTACTGGATAAAATGTCAGTATAAATCGCGGTAACTGGACTGTAATGAAACCACTGCATTATAATTACGTTTTCAACTTCTCTTAACAAACAGTAACTAGTAATGTTACTGTGTCGGACTTGTTGCTCATACAAATGGAGAAAGTGTCAGTCTTTTCTTTTTTTGTCGAAATCAGCCTACAAACAGCTTGTTAATAGCTGCATAAAAAGCTGGCATAGGAGAAAGCATTTTAACGGCAAAACTATTACACAAAACAGTGTTTGACACTGAATGCGTTCGAGAGCTTGAGATGGAGGGTAGTGGAATGGAAAAACAAGGTCCAGACCAAGCGGCAACCTTCCGGTCTCTCTCTTGAAACCAACACGGAAGTGACTTAAACTGCAATTCATCGACTGCCCACTAGAGACTGGCTCCAAAAGGGAGCCAGTCCCATAGACTTACCATGTTAAAATGCCCAACTTTACAGCAGAAAAAAATGTGTTTACAGCCTGGTACAAAAAGTGGTTTTGATCTATATAGCAAATTTTGCCCTTTATGACAACTGTGAGGGGGGTGAATTTTTTTATAACTCATCCGTTTAAATTATATTAAGCCTTAAAGTTCTGCATAATTAAGGGCGTGGCCACTTGAGTGACAGGTGGATTGCCGCTGATGTCACCACCATCGCGCAAGGCAGGTGTAATTTCAGCAATCAGCTCCACCCACGTTCCACCTTTTAGCCCATTTTCGATTATCCGGGAGTGGCGCATGGTGACGCGCTGCCAAGATGGCGACGGCCGTCTCCGCACACTTTGAGCTTCAAAAATGCTCTTCAGAAACCTACGGGTGACGTCACGGACACTACGTTAGGGATATGCCAGTATCAAATTTTCATGTTGCGATTAATTGCTAATGCTTTTATCACGGTATGCGGTATTATCACGATATTGAAATTTAGTTTTCTTAAAATGCATTCAAAATTCTGAATAATTTGTAATATTTAATTATTCACGGTATTTAGAAGTGCCCACGATAACAATATCGTGCATATTCATTACCGTGATATATCGCATTACCGAATACCGGCACAAGTCTACACTACGTCCATGTTTTTTTTACAGTCTATGGTCCAGACACACGCTTTTGAAAACTTATTTGAACTTGAACACTGTGTTAACTTAGCTGTCACGTGAGGGATGCTGCAAAAGACACAAATTCAACAGTCAAATGTCCATATAGAGCATGTTTACATAGAAAAACAATGGAAAAGCATCACAGTGGAATGCAAAAATGGGTTCTGTATGAACAGCCTCACTGGCTTTAGTTTTACAATAGCAAAATTACATTGCAAAAATGCATGACTGAACCATTATATAATTACGAATATGTAATATAGGTAACATATCAGTTTTCTGAAATATTAAAAAAACAAACAAACAAAAATGCCGGCTCATTATTTCTGCACTTAATTTTACATGTAGATTATCTTTGCCTAACACCTAAATTTCACTTTTAAAAACTGTAATAATTTAATAACAGTTTTAAAATGAATTAATGTTGTGATGCCTAAAAATTCACTTGTAACATTAATAATGATTGATGTTAGTTTTTAGCATTTTATTTTTTAATTATTCAGATAAACTAGTATGTAATTTTAATATTGCCCATTTATCGGTTATCAGCCATAACATGAAAATATCACCTTATCTGTATTGACCAGAATTATAATGTCATGCATCCTAACATATAATGTATGCCTGAGAAACACAGACATACACACAGCAAAGCCAAAAGTGTACGAAATACATATTTTATTGTGATTTGAATATATATATATATATATATATATATTGTGCTTTTCTGAATGTTTAAGGTTTAGATTGTGGTTCACAGGTGTAATCCTGTTTCAAATGGATTTATGAAAGTCAGCCATCCATCAACGGCTCTTAGGGGAAAATTCGAGCACCTCAGCCTTTCTGAATGAATGTGAATTCATTCACTCCAAAGACAAGGCAGTGCCTATACAAAGGTCTTTGAACCCAGGCCTAATATTATCAGGACTTCAAAGCTGTCTTCCTCTACCTCAATGCCTGCTATTCTTCTACAGTACAGAGTCTCCGCAGCATCAATCAGGACCTTGGGAATACAGAGACGGCACAGCGAAAACTTTGTAAAAGAGCTGTACAGACTTTATAACAGGTTTGGCTTGAAAGTAATCTTTTGCCGATTTTACTCAGCAACACAAAAGGGGCCCTCTCTCGACATGACTATGCTGAAATAACCTTTTGCAAAAAGCTAAAGCCATCCAGAGCCTCTGGAATACCGAAGCCATGTTTTTGGCCTCGGGGGGCAGCCGGAATATCTCAACAAATTCCCAGTGCACTGTTCTCTGATCCAAACAGGGCCCCCCTCGGTGGGTTGGATGTTTTTACTGTGTCTCTCCCAGGATTAGGATGGCCAACAGGGGACTGAGAACCAAGCACGACAAAACCATTAAGTGCACGGTGGGAACTGCACTGCTGCCCACAATGCTACCTTTCCTCCCATTGTCCTATGGCCACTCCGGCACATTTCTGGAAGTTCGTTTAGGTTTTTGTGATTATTACACAAACAACACAAACATCTTACGCATCACCAGCACAACAACAAACTCTAAAGTTATGTAAGCGTCACAAATCTTGAAGTTGTAAAAGAGTTCAATAGAAGAGAAAAGGCTTCTAGCCTGTGAAAAAGCTATTCACATTAAAGGGTCATAGCATATATTTTTATTGTTTAATTTTCTTCACTGGGGTCCCTTTATTAAATTTTTGCGCCAAAAAAACAGACAGGACAGGATGGAGGCAGATATGAAGCTTGCAGTGGACTGTAAGAAAGGGGCAGATTTAATCAGACTATATTGCCGTTAACTATAATCAGTGCTGTGTACATTACTTACAAATTGTAGTCCATTATAGATTGCACATTATCATGAAAGTTGTAGTTAGTAACCTAATCTATTAGAGTAGTACACATTTTAAGTTAATTATTCGGTCTACTTTTTGATTACTTTCAGATTACTTTTGACCTAATTTGTTTATCACATAGTTTTGAATTGGAATATTTTGCACCATATTAATATAAAAATAGAAAGAGAAAGAAAATATATTTTATCTTTTATTATCAACAACATGAAGTGCATTAAACAGTCTCCCAGACTGAAGTTTGTGAAGGAACAGCAGGGGGTTTGGGAGCTGATGAAAAGCAAATTAATTAAATCAATAAAATGTAAACTTACAATAAAAAAATAAATACATTTTAAATCAAAACAATACTTGAACATTAGAAATAGAAATATTTTATTTGTTGACCTGCATGTCAGTGTGACCATTAACTGACATCAGATAACCGTGAACATGCAAACGTGTTAAATTACTGAAATATTTACATAAAATCTCATGAAAATATTTTAGAACGAAATAATGTATGAATATATGTAATCATGTCATCTATAAAAAGTAACAGTAATCTAATTATAATCATTTTAAAATGTAGTATATTCTAAGTATTTAATTTTGGAATCTGATTGCATAATCTGGATTACATGTAATCAGTTACTGCCCAGCACTGACTTTAATGAAGTTTGACTTCCCCATCTTTCCATAAAAGCCTCTTTGCAAAATGACAGATACTGTACATAAAATAGTCTGCATTGAATGTGCTGCATAAATGGCAGAATGTGCTGTATAAACTGAATGTTCTGCTTCTTTCATTTATAACTTTTATAATTTCTTATAAATATATATTTTTTTTTATAATTTGGCAGAATTAACTTATGACATATCTTATTTGTTCTCTCATGATATTGTTATTTTTCTCCAAGTCTTTTACAGCTTAGTTTTAATAAATGGTTTTGGACTAGAGAGGAAGTTATGGGTTTTCAAAGTAGGTTTCACAGTTTATCAAGCTCTTGTATCTTGCGAATTGAGATCTGATACAGAAAAATTAGGCCGATTTAACCAAGACAACACATCGCTGTGTGCAATTATGAGCTGGAATAATGCAACAGGGGCCTGTGTCGGCCTTCCAGAAAGGCCTCAGGGAGCAGGTGCGCATGCTAATGAGGGAGCGGCAGCTGCTGGTCACAGCGCACCCGACTCTCTACTCATAAACTCCCCTCACACTTTCCCAAAGAGAATAAGAGGGCCGAGGCATCAGGCAGTTGAATGGTTTGCCCACCACAGAGCAGAGCAGACAAGGCTCCGTGAGCAGGCCCATTGTTCCTGCCGCCATTCAGAGCGGAGCTGACCGCAGTCTGGGTGCCTCTAACCCCTCTGAGTGTGCATTCAGCTGTTAAACCTCCTCTTCTTTCCCCTCCCTTCCATCCCATCCCTCGGTCACCTCTCTATCCCTCTTGTTCTCATCATGGCCTCCCTTTTTAATCTTCCAGCCTTCGCTTCACTTCCTTCCTACTTGGCTGCACTAGAGCTGTAGTCACACGCCTCCACCTATGCCTTTCCCTGCCTCCCGCCTTCTCCTCTCATCTTCAGCAGTTCCTGGTATATCGGGATGATGAGGTCATTTTTGAATCACACATCTCAGCACTGGACTGAAAACAACTCCCTTTACTGTTTTTAAAAGTTACAAAGCTTTATGGGTTCTTTAAAGGGGTCCTATTATGCGTTTTCACTTTTTCAACTTTAGTTAGTATGTAATGTTGCTGTTTGAGCATAAAAAAGATCTGCAAAGTTACAAAGCTCAAAGTCCACTTTAAAAGGAGATATTTTATTTAACTTTGGATGCACAATATATTGGTACAATATATTTGTTATCAGACAGTATTAAATATATTTAATTTATCAGTATCAGGTTATTGGATATTTAATTAATTTCCCTATTTTTACATTTTGATTAAGTGAGCATTAGTTAACAGCAACG